TAGATAATATGTGATTCATTTTTATATCAAATATCAATTTTGTGATACTAGCCTTATGCTCAACATTTTCTTTTGTGGATTGTTCCAACTCCATAATTTTGGCTATAAGCTCTGCTTTCTTAGCTAGGAGCAAAGCATTCTCACTTATAAGTTTAGCATTTTCTTGTCTAAGTAAATCTAATTCAGATTGCATATTTAATAATACTTTTTATATAAAGCATAGATTTATTCAAAATTTTGAATTAATAATAATTTTTTTAAAGTCTCAGTAATATATAGACTTCATATCTAAAAAGGTTTCACTCAAACTAGTTGTTATAGTTGATTAGAAGTGTAGAATAAGTTATGAATATGAAAAAAGATAAGTATATATCAAGATTAGAATTATGTTTAATCTAAACTGAGCTAATAAAATCTTTGATTATTTTTGCGGACTGAACAAACCACCCAAGCCAAAGTACTAAGCCATTAGCAATGATCATGCCCTTTCGAATACACAATATACAAAGTTAAAGGTCCTATCGTTAAGAAATAAAAACCCAGATGAAATTTTTTGTATAACTATACTATTCATAAACAAGTAACCTGGGTAGTTGATCTATATAATTTTGTAAAAAAATAAAAAAACAGATTATTTAATTGATTTATCTTTTGCTTATTATTAAATCCTTTACTGTAAAAATTTTTAAGTTAATAATAAAAATTATATATTTATATAAATTTCAAGGTAGATACATTCAAAGCTATTTTTCATCTTGTAGTTCAGATTAACTATGAGAAGCCTGCGTAATATTCTTCTTCTCACTATGCAGACAATAATAGCTGATGATCAAACTCTATAAAATTGAGTTTTAATAAACATAGAAAAAATGAAGTCAGAGACCCTATTGCTTCTATATCAGAAACGAAATTTTTTGTATGACTTCTAAAAAAGTATAAGAACAAAGAGTGGAGGTGGATACATTCATATCATTCTACATGGTGTAGCCTGGTGGTTTAAAACCTGGGAAGTCTGTTGAACCTTCCTCTCCTTGCATATGCTCCATAAAGAAGAATGACGATCACACTTTCTATAATAGTGTTTTTTATAAACGTAAGAAGACTATATTATAAAGGATAGATAGATTGCATATTTTTTGAAGACCAGATAATAACCTTTATCTAAGTACTAAGCTACCTAATAGTAATTATGAGCCTGTTAAATCTCACAACATGCATAATCAGAGACCCTAGTTGCAATAGCAACAATTTTTTGCTTGACTAAGTATACTTGTACAAATAGCTTCAAAAACCATCTTATCAATACAAAAACAATCTAGTATAGAAAAAAGAATCAGGTAAAATATTATCTTTTTTATATATACTGTACAGCATGTGGTTATGACCATTATTATGTAATAACAATTTAAAATTCGACACAAAATCACTATATTTAGTATAATTTCCAGATACAAATTTAGAATAACTATGTAATAACGATAATAAATAATTAACACATATATAATTAATACTATATGATTCGGGGCTGTGTGAATATTTGTGTCATTAACGTTAAAAGCTGTAAAAACAAAGATCGTCAATCTAGCAAATATCGATATAAAATATCGAGAAACAAGATAAGTAAATATAGCGCAATATTTTGGGGCTGGTTTTCCCATACTTGATATAGACTATAAACAAACATGTGTGATATTTTAGCATGACCATGTTGAATTATATTTTTGGTTAATTATACATTAAAAGAAGTTAACCGAAGGGTTATCGTTTAATAGTACTTCAACAGTGGCTTAACTGCAGTTATCTAAAATTTAATACGTATTTGTAAAATGTTATCTGTTATGTAAACACATATATGTGCTATTTTACTATAACCACGTTGTTAGAAAAATAATTTATTATGTATACTATCAGGTCCGCACGGGTCCGCACGTATAATTTACAAATTCTTATATTTTTATGATAATAATTGCAATGGCCTGCATTAAATTTTATGCGGTGTCACTCTCCTGCAGAATCATTTCTTACAGTAACAGCACAGGTTTTTTTCGTAGTTTTACTGGCTGCCCTTGCATCGAAAGTGCGTCAGGAGTACTTCAAACGTAACCCAGGTTTACATGAAAAGAGCATCTTCCTGTATTGCAAACACAAAGTAAAATTTTCAATTATATAATATAATTAAAAATTTTACTTCATGTTCGCAATGCAGGAAGATGCTCTCCTCATGTAAACCTGGGTTATGCTCAATGTACTCCTGATGCATTTTTGACGCAAGGGCAGTCGGTAAAACTACGAAAAAAACCTGTGCTAACAGTGACTACACGCTCTAGAACTTTTTTCTTACCTTATATAAGATCCTGCAATAAGAATGGGACTTTAAAAGGCTATAAGGCAATGAGTATAACGTTCTTTATCAGTGGTTTTATCCAAATTTATATGTTACAGGGACTTCGAATTTCCGCCATCTCCGAGATCGTTGAGATCATTAACTTTTTCACTTGCAGGAGAGATCATCGAATCTAAGGGAGTTAATTTTATCAGAAAAATAACAAAATAGATTGGTGTTTGGAACTTATGACCGAGCAGAGTTGCTTTATGGAGAAAAAAACTGGCATTAGATTTGGGTAATGTAATTACTAATCGTGTATTTTTCTTTCTGACAGGTTCTCTAGATCTAACAAACATGAAGTATAAAAATAAGTGTGTTTCCACCCGTAAGATAAGTTAGCAATAGCGTTATTTTTTGCTCATATAAACTTTTTGGCTTAACTTACTTAAAAGTTACTCTCAAGTCTGGTTAACATACATTGTTTGTTATATGTTTTTTTTTATTTTGAAAGCGAATTTCTACTTACTATTTATTTTTATGTTAGAAAGTAAAAATGGCGAATATTATTTTAAATTATCGTGTCAGCAGTGATTATTCAATTAATATTTCCCCAAATATGACAGTTGCCAGCCTTAAAAATATGATTAAAAGTAACGTTTCTTATAACAATTTTGATCTCTACATAAATGATACCACTTGAGATATAAAAAAATAAGATAATTTTTTTTATTGTATTCACACCAGAGCACAAAATTCTACTGTAAAATACCGAAGCTCCGGTAAATCAAGAAAAAATTCCGGCACAATTTTTTGATAATCGGAAATTTTCCGTTTGGTCAAAATTTTAATACATTCTTACATCATGACTAATTGTTACTATTGTTACTACCTCCGGCTATAGATTCTAAATTCCGTTTAATAAAAAGATCCCCAGAAAAATATCAGGACATGTCCTGCCACAAATTTGTGCACTGGTTAGAGCAATAGAAATCTCATTAATCCACTCTTCGCGTCACTAATCATATGAAAAGACGTTTGACTGCTTTAAGGGAGTCTGTTACCCCGCCATTTTACCTGAAATCATTTCTGCCGCCATTACTAGATTCTAGCGAAACACAAATATGTAAGAAAATGTTAGTGGAAAAAAAGAATAACTAAAAAAAAAGAAGAAAAAAAAGAATACATTCCTAGTACTATTTTCAGTACTCTAGCGAAACACAAATCTACAATTTACAAGCTATAAGAAAATTGTTAATATTAAAAAAAAAAAAAAAAAAAAAAAAAAAAAAAACGCGTTATACCTGATTTACAAGTTACTGGGGATGTAACCTGCTTTTTTGCCAGCAATATTTTTTAATCGAAGGTTCAAAAATTTTCCAAGTCAAGCCGGGCAACAGGTTTTGTATTTTGGTTAGAAGTATTTCCATATTCGACAGCACGTATTGTATACGTATGCACGTACATATATTTGTTTAGAATACTTGTTTAACGTAAATTATGGACGGCCCTTTATCTCCAATAATATATCTTTTTTCTTCTTTTTCTAATTTTTGTACCTTTTCATCTATAAGCTATTGTATTTTGAAGCGAATTCAAATCTATGCTTCTTTGGTCTTTCAGGCATCTTAGATTTCAATGGGATTTTACACCATATATCTATTTTGCAAACAACTCTTTCTTTTTTCTTTTTCTATGTCCTGTTATTAGGTTGTAAGTCTTTGCTACTAATTTGATATATTACTTCTATTAACCATTCTGCCGGAGTTATTAGTACAATTTTTGGTTTTGTTTCTTTTTGAATCTTGTTATGCGTTTTTGTTTCTGTAAGATCTAAAATATCTTGTCTATTGCTTTTCTTTTCCTTTTCTTTTTTGATTTTGATTTTTCTTTTTCTTATCTAAATGCAGTAAATTCAACAGATATTTTAAACTGTAATATTAGAGTTTTTAGTACTTTTGGTTCTGCTGCCTTTGTTAAGTTTTCCTTTGTTCTTGAAGTCTTTTACTCTAATCTAAATTTAACTAACTTTATTTCAGCAACTTGCTTTTTCTTTTGTCAAACTTGCATCTTCTCCTTTTCTTTTTTGGCTTTCCTTTTAATTTCTTGTTAATTGGCTACGATAGTCTTGACAGATTCTTTGAATTGTTGTATTATAGACTTCAGTGCTGTTTTATTGTACTGTTTTTGTCGATTTTTCCTTTGTTCTTGAAGTTTTTTCCTTCATCCTAATTCTAATTTCGACCTTATTTCAGCATCTTGTCTTTTTCTATCTTCTAGTAATCTTCTTATTCTGTCAGCTATCCTTAATTTTACAATAATACCAATTATCTCTTCTTTTATAATTTTAACAACTAGGTCTTCTCCTTTTTGTATTGCTTCATGAAAATATTCATGGTCTCTTTCTATAAGTATAAGTTCTATATACTCTAATTCACCTCTGTTATATCTCTGAAATTCTTTGAAAGTTTTCTATTTGTGCTTTAGCTACTTCTTCTGGGATGAGTTGCTGTCCAGTATATTCTATCATTATCTGTTCTATTTGTATATTTATCATTTCATCAGTTATTGCTGTTGTTATATCCTGGATAGCTTCTAATAACTCTTTTTTTGTAACAGGTTTTTTTTCAGTAGCTATTTTAGCTTTCTTGTTGATACAAATTTGGAATATGAATATAGTAATACTAGAAGTCTATTTTGCATTACGGTA